GTGGTTGCCGGGCGGGTGTCAGGCAGCGCGCGGAGGGGGAGCTGTCCCTTATCCTAGGCAGGGCGCCTGGATTGAGAGCCTGTTCTGAAGATTCAATAGAGTATGGCCTTCCTGGGTGAGAAGGCTCCTAAACAGAGAGAGATGCCCACGAAGATGGGGATCGAGTAGGCGAACAGACAAAGAGAGTCACGTGATGTCAACAACAGTCACGTGAGGAACACGACGCGCAGGCTGAAGCCAAGCAACATCCAGGCGTAGCCTATGACATCTATTTCCTATCTCCTTGGTTATAGTGTCATCTGTGTGGTTCATTAGTAGTAATGAGGTGTCATACCTTAGGATCTGTCTCTGCTGTTCTCTGCTAGTCAACTACTTTAGGAATGGGGTGATATAGTTCCTGGGCTATATCTAATACTTGCCTAAGGCCTACTGACTAGGTAGCCTGATAATATAGTAATATAATGATCTAAATAAGATTAAGGATAATCTAAAGGTAATATAAGAATAATAATAGTAAGAGAGTAACTAATAAATTAGACTAGTAAACTTATATTTAAGTAAGGTATTAATATTAAATATAAGGAACTAAACTAAGAGTACTAGATATAGTAGTAATAAATATCCTTATATAGTTCCTTATCTACTACTCTATAAAAACTTCCTTAGCTACTCTTTAAGTATCTAAATAGTAGCTATTTAAGTAGAGTAATACTCTATGCTTAGTAAGAATCCTATCTATAGGGTAGTAGTCATATAATATATATAATAACTATTTAGTAATAGACTATTATATAGTTTTTCTATAAAAGTCTATCTAGATTAAGCATTCCTCTAGAATGCTCAGTGATCCCTCTAGGATTAATTAGTGATTACTAATCCCTCTAGATTCTACCTGTCACATCTGCCTTGTGTTAGTGCGGCTATGTTGGTGTTGTAACATGAGGGTCTGCTATAGCTTAAGGTAGTATAGGGAGTAGTTATATGCTATGACCTACTTCCTTTAAGCTAGGGACTAGGTCTTACTACTATATATCTATGCTATTAATTATTATACATTCCTTCTAGCTAGGGATAAGTATGCAGTATATAAATAGAATATTAATTAAGGGTTAGGAAGGGGTATAAAATATACCTATTAGTAGTAGATAGCCCTTACTAATACTAATAAGATTACATCCTCCCCTGCCTAGCTCAAACTCTATCTATAAGTTTACTAAGAAGATACCTATAGCTACCTGCCCTATATAACTAGTAATCATCCCTATATCTCTGCTTAATATAAACTATAGTTAATAATAGGGGAATATTCTATATATTAGTATATTACTCTTTATAATTAGAGGAGGCTTATCTATAGGAGAGGATATAATATAGTAAAGAGGTAATTTTAGAGCTAGTAAATAAAAATATAAGCTAGTAAGGATCCCTTAAGTAAGAGGTAGTACTAGATATAAATAAACAGATACCCGAAACCACCAATAATACCGACGCCTCTGCGAAAGCCTCAAGTATACTGCGCCACACACAAGCCTAGAACACTGAAATTCTAGGGTGTAAACTAAGAAATATGAGTGGCGTGGAATGGCTGACTGAAGGGAAATAGAAGGCTTAGAGAAATCTGGAAAGCACCCTTGGAAGCATATAAGAGAGTGGTAATGGGGATAAAGTATAAGCGCTAGTAGTGATGAGAAATAAGATCATGATGGTAAGTAGCAGAGGAGAGAGGGTGTCAAGTCCCAGGAGGCTCTTGGATAGATAAGAGAGCTAAGTAGATTGTGAGGGATGCTCTGATTATCCAAATAAGACCTTAGGTTGGCTGTTTGTCTATAAGTGAATGATTATGAGCATGGACTGGACGGTGAAGAATTAAGGATGAGGCTAAGAGCTACAAAATAGATGGTTTCCACAGCCCCTACGTTCAATGAAAACAACTTGCTAGTAGAGATTGGATGACTAGTATGCTTTCTGTGGCCTCATTGACACTATGTAGGGAAGCTCGCACTAAGAGTGATGGTAGCATTAGATATGAATGACACCGCCCCCTCGCGGCGACTTCATCGTTGGAATTGTTCAACCAAAGTTTGATGCTGCCCTGAAGGAGGGCGGAGGTCGCCAAGTGTATTCGAAAGCTGAACGAGAAATACAAAGGAGAGACTCTCATAGTTGGCGTTGATCGACTGTACAGAAACGGTTTACTCCAGAGACCGCAGGGATACGACGGTTCCTATCCAAACATTCGGAATTGAAGGAAAGGTTACATTGCTCCGAGTTGCCATTTCCAGCCTCACAGATGTAAAGGAGTATAATTATGGACCCAGACTGAGCTTTCTACGGTCGTGGGAAAGATTTGTATAACTGATGGTACATGCCAGCTTGCTCTGTTGGTAACATAACACTGACTGTCCAGCCACCTAGGGAGGGCCCCTCTGATGCCATCCATCGCTCTCACTGCACACCAATGCCAGTCGAAACTAAACATAGGGAGAGCGTTGCCTCTCACCTGGGCTATTTGGCCTGTGTACTAGATTTACTCTCAGTCTCTCAGGTTTCAACAGGCACGGGACAGGGGGCAACACGTCTAGCACTCTAGCTATACGATGTAGTAGGCCAAGATTTAGTTCATATGGAAGTTCTTTGAAGCGTGTTGACTCGGAAAAGGAAACATCTCTCATTCTAAGGCGTGATTGCATTTGTCTTCTTTTCAGCCTAGCCCAGCTTCTGATTGTTGCTGTGCCTGTTGCAGCAGTTTGACTACTGACTCATGTCCCGGGGTTGAAACCCACTCTGCAGGAGTCGCTTCCTTCTTCATAGCATAATCTAACGGAGAAAAGCCCGACCTATCTGTAATGGAAGGATCAGCACCCGCGTCGAGCAGCAACTTCGCAATCGACGGCAGGCCTGACCTAGCCGCGCCGTGTAGGGCGACACCGTCACGAGGTCCTCGTATGTTTGGATTGGCGCCAGCATGCAATAGGATCCGCGCGATTTGCTCTCTGTCTACAGTAGCAGCATACATCAAGGGCGTCAGTCCTAGGCGGTCTGCCCTATTCACATCAGCTCCCTTGTCTAGCATCAGTTGCACGAGTTCTGTCTGCCCGCTGAACACTGCAGAGCCTATAACGTGTTCTCCAGGCCCATATAGCAGGTTTGGATCAGCCCCTCTCTTCAAAAGAATCTTCGCGCACTCTGTCTGTCCACGCAGTACTGCATTGTGGAATGGTGTCTGCCCTCGCGCTCCAGAATCCACCTCTCCGTTTTCCGCTGCATTGATGTCGGCGCCGGAATCAATGAGAGCCTTGAGCAGTGCAGCCTGCCCGTGGGTGCAACATATGTGTATTGGAGTGCGGTCCTCTTTGTCTTTTGCTGAAGCGTCAGCACCATGAGCCAGGAGCAGCCGCACCATGGTTATGTCTTGCTTGGTCAGACAAGCATAGTGCAGGGGGGTTCGGGAGTACTTGTCCGTCGGAGATGGATTGCATCCCGTTGATAGCAGTTCTTGAACAATGCCATAGTGACCTTTTTTGACCGCTATGTGGAGCGGTGTCTGACCGGCGTTGTTTTCGACCATGCTCTTGGCTGCGGTGGTTGGGCTCAGTCGGCTGATCACATTGTCAATGTTGTACTCTGCCACTAGGTGAAGCAGGGTGTTGCCTTCGCTATCCACAGATTTTAGATGGGCATGGTTTAGCAAAGGTGTGGTGCCTGGTCTAGCGTGTAGAAGAAGCAGTAGGTCTTGAGGGTCCAGATAATTGGCAATAAGAAGGAAGATCTCAGTTGGTAAGCGAGGTTGGCGTTCCGGCTCCATGTCATGGCTTTCCTTCGTTCACATGAGATTTTATGTTGAAGTAGATCGTGCGACACAAATGGCGGGATGGTACGTTAATAAATGAAGAGAGTATGACAAATCAGCCTGACTATCATAATCATTCTCTGGAATCCGCCTTGCCGATGTTAGTATGATCAAAAACCACTCTCAATCCTGGCCGAAACACTAACCCCACTGTTGGTTTGCATTGCCACACTACGCTGCCTGGGGTACTCCGCGCAGGAATTATAAGCATAAGAGGGGCCATTAAGGTAGAATACTGTTTCATAATAATTAAGCTGCTAATGACTTGTAGAGAATTCAAGTACTACTACAGCTAATGATTTTATATGAATAATAGCCAACCTCAGAACAACTTTGAATTGCGTGATTTGATCCAACATTTGACACCACACTCTTGCAAAAAATCAGCATGGGTAAATCTAACAGATGTAGGTATAAATGACCAACAGAACAACACAGGATAAAACAAATTTGACTTGACAGGATGGTTGATTCCGTCTTGGTGAATCCCCAGACAGGCCGCTGGTTCTATTCTAGGGGCAGTGTCCAGACCAGCGAAGACTCTTGTTAGGGTTAAAATCTGATAATGCTCTCATCGCATACTTTAACAGATTAATACCAGAGGGACAAGTCGCAACGCGGCCGCGTTTGGTGGTTGGTGTGGCCCCAATCTGCGCGGGGTCAATGAACCCGTTGGCGGCTTGGATGACAGTCAATGAGCCAGAGTTTGCCTCGGCCCAGCGTCTGATAACTGTAATCATTGCATTAACTACCTCTTGGGTTAGAGATACCCCATCCTTTGCAAATATGCCAAAGCCGACATCGTAGCCGCTGCAGTAGACATGTTAGCTAGACATACCGATGAGTGGGAATACCAGGATTTTGAGAAGCAAATGCTGACACTCACTTATTGCTGAATGGGGTTATATTCATAATGCCCCCCTCAAGAGCATGACGCATATAAAATTCCGCTGCTGCGAAGTCTTCCCATTTGAATGAAAACTAGTTCATAATATACTCCTTGAAGTTTTGCAACATGACTCTCCCCAGACCATTGATACCAATGCTGCTGGAGAAGAAAGCGTCATAGATTCCCTGTGGAATTTGCTAAAGAAAGGTCAATCGGAGGACTGGAGCATGAACCTTTCTAGAGGAAGGGGCTTCTCACAAGTCCTGCCATGAAAAGAAACTGGCCTTGGGGAGACCACTGCAGCGTCATTGGGCCCAGAGCGCGCTGTTCTAAGGCGCTCACATCACGGACATCATGGACTTCAAGTCCGTCCATACTGATATCCTTCTCTGATGGGAGGATTTGCGCTGGATTTGGTAGCGCAATGACCGATGTGAAGGTTGCAAACTACCACGTAGTGTTAGCACTTGAATGAGAAGTATAACGCTGGGGAAACATACAAGCAAGAAGAGCTTCTTGATTAGGACCATCTTTGCAAGTTCTTTTCTCTGCAGAAATCTTTGAGTAAGCTAGTAAGTAAGACTGGATTTTGCGAAGTTGGAACGTAAGTGAATGTTAAAGTCGAAACAGGTGCGTAGACCAGCAGATTGGTGCCCCCTTATAACTCTCTTTTGTCCTGCTCTAAACATTGATTGTCCTGTAGATCTTCCTCTTTCTCTTCTACGAATACATATAAAACAGAGAAATCACGCAATATATGCATCTGTACATTGTTGCTTGGCGGCAACTCAGCCTCTATTAGGGCAGAAGGATGAGTTTCGACTGTGTTGGTTATAGTTGGGTTTTGGGGGGCCCAAACACAAAATGATTTTGATAGATCATGAAAACCCGGAGATAGCCAGTTGAAACAGAAACACTCAGGCAAGATACGGCAAAGCGGACTTAGAGGACTGCATCCAACAAGCATGTGTCTGCTGGGAGCACGCCAACACTCTATCTGATATCCAATGTTAACAGCGCTTTTGAGTTCCTACTCGCCATCCAACCAACACACCTACGTAAAGACCTGGGAACTGTCAATGATGGGTATAAGCCACGGTTGTGGGCTATTATGGGACATGTTGCTTTTCTAAAATGGTAAAGCCGCCCACTAATCTACCAACAGCTGTCCTTGCGCCTTCGTACAGGGATCCTTTAAACAAGATTGAGATAGGCTTAATGTGAGTTTCTCATGTTATCTTAGGGTCACTCTAACGGACCAAATTCAGCATCACCCAGATATTGGTTGATCCTCTTTGGGGCCTTTTTGGTCATTGCTTGCTGAGTCTCAAGATCAGCCTTGGACAAATCGCTCATGCTGTGACGGATTGTGGTTAGGAGAGCAGAATAATTGCCTTTAGCAATGACTCGCAGAGCAGGTATAAGAGGGCATCAGGACCAGCTGGTAGTCCTCCAGAATTAATAATCTAACCCAGAAACTCCTCATCCTTAAATTATCACTCCAAAGCCTGTTACTAAAGCACCTATTACCATTACCAAGATGTTTACTATGAAGCTTGTATCTATTCTCCTTTTAACTTTGGGAGCTTTTGCCTCCGCTGAACCTGGACGGAATGTACCCATCTCCGATGCGGAGTGGGAAGCCCTCAAGGAGGCCGGCCTGAAAAGGCGCGTTGATATCAATAAGCCCATATCGGACGTGGAATACGCAGCTCTTGAAGCTGGCGGTCTCACTACTAAGGGTGTGAACGAGCTCGAAGCTCGTGATCATATTATGAATTGTGGCCACAGAGTCACTGGAAAGGGAGGGAGCAATGGCCATGGGAAGTGGGTTCCTGTGGCTCAATTCAAGACACTCGCACGGAGCTTTTGTACGATGACCTCTTTCGATCCTGTCCTTGTGCGGTTTCAGATTCACTGATTAGAAGCAAAATATCAGGCGATGCGTACGTTGGGACAGATATCGCCAAGGGCCATGAAACGTCTGATACCTACGGTGTCACTCTCACCAATGGAAAGGACGGGAACGTCGTCTGTACGTCTATCCATATATTGTTGGGAAGATAGGGACTGACTCAGGGAAACAGTCGCGATCTACAACACGCAATACAGTGATGCATGGATCCTTAACTCCGACACTTGCTACAATGCAATGATTGCACCTCTGGGTGACCATGCGAAACGTGATTTATCCTTGGGGAAGAGGGATAACTGTTGGGGATCTAAGCACAATGACTACGAGGGTGGCTATTATAAGGTGGACAAGATTGGCGCTTTTGGAAGCGAGGTCTATGCTTCTAATTAGGAGACCTTGCCTTCGTCCACTGAGCTCCATGCTCTGAGTTGGCTTGTTATGTCCGTTTCTGATCCTTCGTGGTCTTCAATTTGTGGCTCAGGTAATTTCAAAGTATCAATGTCCGACTTGATGTCTTTCCAGGGGGTCTTGAGGGGAATAGTAAATCAGTGGAGAAAATGCACTCACAATACGGATGAATCGGTATCTACCGTAGTGTTGACAGAATTATACCTTGACTGCGTCATGTCTATTTCCTGTACGGTGATGAAGAGCAAGAGCACTCGCTCAGAAATCACTTGATTTGATGAGCATAGGTGGATCAGGTCCTATCTCGCGTTTACAGATCCTCAGCCGTTAAGATGGAGAATCGATCGAAAACTCACAGAGAATGAGGACCTCGCCACGGAAACAGATGTCAAGGAGTGCATGATGCCCTCTGAGGCCGGCGGCATCTTTATGAACATCAACGTCCCAACTCAAGAACTGTTGTTAAGATTCGGATGTAGTATGTCCCCTCTCTTATGGTAATTGCTCTCATCCTCTAAGCAAGTTCATCAGGGATACCATACTTTAATATGGCCTTCAAGTCCCGTCAAGTGAGGGCACAACAGGCAGATCCGGGCATGAGGGCAACAGTCATGGGGAAAATATGCCGGTGGCGGCCTGCTGCAGCGATCAACCTCAGAGCCTTTGCCTTCGCCAAAGCGTGTTTGACTTTCTGGATGGCCAGGTTAAGCTCTCGAGCCAATGAGCGACTCAAAAACTTTCAGCTCAATGGGCATGCACCATACAGCTTGATGTGGCCCCAGCTACTCGAGTATTCAGCACTCTGAGCAAGAGTGAGCGCCGTTCACCCGACAGTTTGCTAGGAGAGCCTAGCACCTATAGCTTAAGCGCTCAAATTTGTCCACTATGGAAGAAGATCGATGTCGCTGACCCTGTGAGTGTCCAGCATGAGAGCGTCCCACTCGCGACCGAGCGTCCTTTGTTAGTTGAACCATATAACATTGGCTATTGAATGCTCACCACAGTTGAACCGCCGCCCGGTGATTTAACACGCAGGGTAGAGTCTAAGTGCCCAACACATGCATTTCCCGCAATTGCCTGTACCGCGCCGTTTCTTATATCTTTTCTTCAATTACTTCCCCCTCACTCCTCTACCTCACAAAGAGACAGCATTTGCCTTGGGTTGAGCTTCGGGTCCCAGATCTGTAACTAGCATCCTCAAACTCAAGAAAATCCGCCGCAATACACGCGATTGCAGGCCCTCCGCAGAGCGCTAGGGTGCGACTCTTCGCAACGCGACCAGCGCTTTACTTTTGTTTCTCCTCACAACAACCATGCTATCGTCGCGGATGTACATGAAACTACTGAATGCGATGACGGCCCGCGGGACATTGCTAGGTCCAGCGCGAGCTCCCCCAGCCAATTGACTGATACAACAGATAGGATTCGGGCCCAAATGTTGGCCTTTCCTTTCCTGAATGAGTACAGTACCATGGTTTCCATATGCTGTCACAACAGAAAGCAGCGCGGTTAACTGACAGACGTTGGAAGAATTCCAGCATGGTCTAGACGTCCACGGTGTCACTATAATGTGCTTCCTGCCTGATTAGGCGTCTCGTTGGGCGCATAAAGTTCCACGCCTCCCCTTTTCTCCTAGAAGCTCGCCTAGATAGTCTTCCATCTAATAGTTCTTACTCCAGCACTGATAGTGTAGTCGATGCGAGATTTGTGCTATTGTCGATTACAGAAGTTGAGAGATGGTCACTGTTAGGTTGGGACGTATGAAACACCCACCAAATTCAAACGCCATATATATATTACGCCGCTAAACGATCAAAGTGATAAGAAAAAAAAGTAAGGTTAACAGTTACAAAATGAAAAACATACTCTATAACATTGTAAAAAGCAAATCGGTGAAATTTAATGCAATAGATGACGAGGAGTATCCAGCCAATGAACTCAATGAGATATACCAATCACAAAACATGCAATCGCACCGGAGAACAAGCCGTCATTGCCGTCAGAACACGATGAAGGATACGTACAGCTGGAGTCGTCGGTGTCGCTGGAGCTGAGGCAGTTGTTGCTGATGCTGGTTAACCATCCGCCAGCCAGGGCTCCAATAATGATGGTGATCACGCCGGCGACAAGGAATCTGACTGGTCGAATACCGGACATGGCAGCTGCGGACGGTGGTCTGGCGGTGGGCCATGGGGCGATGTTCCATTTCATTATCAACCACGGTGGATATGTATGAAGTTGCACAGCGAGAGAGGGAGGGGAGAGAGGGAACCTACTGGTTTGGAACAGTCGGGGCAGACTCGAAAAGGAATACAGTTAAGCCACAAGAAGGTAACAACAACTGTAGTTGCTGACGCGGCTGGCCCGTGTCAGATAGCACGTTTACTGTTGATTTCTACACCCCATCCATCTAGCCTCAATATCCTATAACTACCCACTCGTCTACCTTTTCTCAGAAATGTAGGAATTTGATACCGATAACAGAGAACTCTAGATATTCTTCTTTAAATCGCGTTCACGCTTTCAACAACCTAAAGATGGACAAGCTGAAAAGAGAAAGCCAATCAAGGATCGGTCGGACTATCCAATCAGAGAACACAGTATTCAAGAAGTTCCCTTGTTTAGCCCCGTTTGAGATTTTCTATCCACTTTTAGATCATCATTCAAATAAAAGTTCATCAATTCTATGTTGTGCCATACTATGAAATCATTTGTGGTCGTGCATAGCATATAATATATCTACATCAGAGAATTATGGGCTGAAATTTGTCACCATCAAGAATTCCAGACCCTAGGATTTCAGTCATGGTCACGATCCTAGTTGACATCTGATTTGATTTGGTTTGATTTATTCCAACAAAGCTATTTTGCTCTTAATGGGAGCACAGATTATTATAATACACCTGACTTTACCTGCTATTAGTTATAGATCAATCCTGGCCTCTAAATATGGTTATTTTATGTTAGACATCGTAGCTACCTGATATATGATATACTTTAGTAAACTATATATATATATTACTATTGTGATATCGACAGGTATGTATGTGGCTTCGGGAAAGCCTATGAGAGTGTGCAGAAGATGTCTATTAGTCATCATTGTTATGGAGTTACATAACTATTTAGACCCTTACATTCCCTTATAGCTTAGGTAGAATTATAAAAGGGGACTAGAACCCCTTAATATCAATGAGGCATGTACAGGGCGGCTGCTGGCCTACCCCTAGACCTCGTAAGGAGTCGCGACTCGTCAGGTTCGATTCGACTCGGAACCGCCAAGACTCAGGTTCAGGTTCTAAGATCTTGGAATCGCGATCCAACTCCAGGATTTTTAGAGTTGAACCTGGCAGGTTTGACTTAAACCTTAGGTTCCACAAACAGTGCAAATATAGGAAATCTTATGATATGCATATTTTGTGTAGTTTTCCTCTATATTTTTGAGTATTTAGTTTACAGTTTAGGCGAAAAGGTCAGATTAAAATGATTTTAGTATAGAATCAGATGGGAGCTTTCACATTTTAAATTCTACTATTTTTATGGCTTATGATACATAAATTAATCTTCATCTCACTTTGAACGCTTTAGAACCCGCCCTGATGTTCACCTCTAAGTACTACTTTCGCCATGTAGGTCGCTGTTATCAGGCAGAGGGATTTCATCCTGATCATCCTTATTATCCAGTTTAATCAGTGGCCCCTGGTCCTCTGTGGCTTCAGTCCTTAGTCTTTTACTAAGCACACGCTCACTAGGCGGCTGTATTAGTAGAGATATAGCTGCTGGGGCATCTTCTTTATTATCACTAATTAGATCAAATTCATCCACCACCTTACAAGCATCTTGTTCTTCTCTTACTGCTTAAATCTCCTAGGCTGTGAGATATTTATTAATAAAGGTTAGCTGCTCTAATTTAATGTTAAATCTTAATGTACACATAAACATCATAAGATCCTTAATTATTTTGGGCTTCAGAGAGCCTTAACAGTAGTGATATATAGAGTAGCATACTGCTTCCAAGATATCATGTAAGCTCACTATGGGCGTTCGTCTATGGCTAGAAGGATGTAGCCAATGTGATAAGCATATTAATATCAGAGATCTGATCTGCTAAAGAGTGGCCATTGGATATAGACTGTGTATCTGAATATCACTGTTGGTAGGGCATAAGGTAATCCTTATGTCACAAGCCAAGTTAAATAGTCATTTAACACCAGAACCAGTAGCAGGAGTTATAAGAACATCTCATGCTAGGCTTATAAGGATAGGAAATTCATGCTGTTAGTCCTTCCAGAAGAGCCATAGATTGATTAGACAAGTGCTTAGAAATAAGATAAGTAAGAGAGATGTAAGAGATGAAGAGACCTTAAGGCTCTTGCAGTATCATACACGCTAGCATGGCTCCCACTCCTTAGTAGAAAAGAAGTGAAGCTTGTTTTATGGCGCCAGGATTATACCAATTGCATACAGATCATCATGGATATCATCAGTCATGCTATAATACTCTGATAGCTTCAACTTAGCTTACTTCAGGGCAGATAGCATCACTGCCTTCTAGTTAACCTTCTTTCGCGCAAGCTGCGCCATAGATCTTTCTAGATGATTGAAAAGTTTGTTGTAGATACTGAAGATGGTATAGATAGTGATATTCTTAGTCTTCAAGAGGGTGCTTGTGAACGTAAAGAATGGCTGAGTGATTATAAGAAGATAATTAATCTGCCGCCATTCCTCCTGGTTTGGCTGTAGATTATGGCGACTGTACTGCGCGCAGAACCTATTAAAAATAGATTATAGCTGTTTAGCGCGCCAGAGCATCAGATATATTGAATTCCAGCAGGTCCTGACATCTTGCATTGGTACAAGCTTTGGTTCTGTTATCTAAAGGTTCTGGAAGGCCTCTCGGCGTTAATGTAGACTGTGAGCTGCTGAACCTAATATATTATAAGTATGAACTAAGGCAATATCAAAGAGGGTAGCTTACCTTATTA